ATTTTTAAAAAATCACTAGTACAGTAGTCCGAGATAGCCACTCACTGACATTTCAGTCTGTCATTGTCATCTTCTGTGTGTATATGTACCTTTTTAGACAAAAAATGAGATTATATGATTTTATGACCTGCTTTTATTTCCCTCTTAATTACATGCTTTGAACATTTTTTTTTGTTTGTTTGGTTTGGTTTGGTTTTTTTTGGTGGAACTGGGGATTGAACTCAGGCCCTTGCACTTGCCAGGGAAGTGTTTATTCCACTGAGCCATCTCCCTGGCCCCTGAACATGTTTTAATGCTGCTAAATATTTCTTCTACAGCTTCATTTTTAATGAAAACTTTTGGTCTTTTGAGACAGGGTCTTGCCATGTAGTGCAGGCTGGCTTTGAGCTCATGTTGCAGCCCAGGCTGGCCTTGAACTCTCAGCCCTCCTCCTGCCTCAGCCTCCTGAATGCTGGCATTATAGGCATGTGCCACCATGCCTGGCTTAATCTGTTTTTTTAATGCTATTTCCAGACCCCACCAAAAAAGGCACTGAACATCTTTGTTGTAGCAGTTGTTGTTTTCTTTTTTTTTTTTCTTTTTTGCATTACCAGGGATTGAACTCAGGATCTTTGCTTGCCAGGCAGGCGCTTAAGCTACTGAGCTATCTCCCTAGCCTGTGGTAGTATTTTTGCTGGTATATAAGGGTCAAGTCCCAAGGATAAAATATATTGGTGTTTGTACATCATCAGAATGGTACAAATGAAGCAAATCGCTGAGACTCTTAATTTGTTGAAATTGTCTTTGCCCCTAGCTTAGTGAGACTGTTCTTTCAAAACGCTGTATATGTTGTGCTAGAGACAGAAGCCAGGACCGCGTGCCTGCTAGCTACCCTCCCGAGGCTTTGTCTCTCACCACAGGTGTCAGTGCCCGAGACTTGACACAGCTGGGCATCCCTGCTGCCGAGGAGTACTGCAGGATGTACTGCCTTCACATGGACCTGCCCCCTGCCCAGAACTGGAACTTCTATATGGCATTCTCCTTCTTCCGCGTGGCTGCAATCCTACAAGGAGTCTACAAGCGATCGCTCCAAGGTAATGAGGGGTGGCCAGGCCGATGGGTGAGCCCAGACAGCTGCGGTCCTCCTGTAGCGCAGAGGTTGTGGTGGGAGCTGCGAGGCCAGAATTCTGTATATATAATGTTTGTGTTACTTTTCTCATTGCTCAGATGAAATACCGGATGCCCAGCACTAAGGGAGGAAAGGTTTATTTATGTAGCTCAGTTTGTAGAGGTTTCAGTCCCTGATCCGCTGGCTCCAGGGCAGGAAGCACAGCAGAGGGTGTCACAGAAGAGAAACAGTTCGTGGTGGGCAAAACAAGTAAGGAGGGGAGACGAGCCCCCTTGCATCCCTCCGCCCAGGCCACTGAGGTGGGGGCCGTGCCAGGCCAGTCAGTGCACTGGTGTGATAATCACTCACCCTTAGTCCTGGCACCCTTAATCTAGCGTTGTACAATGACTCACATACGCCACGTTCAGCCACCTCTGAAAAAGGCCCACCTATGACAGCATGAAGCTTTGGGGGGTACATACACGCACATAATAAAAATTAAGTCATGTACAACAAAATAAAATTCTTTTCTTAGTATTCATTCTCCAAAAACAACTTGTGAAATTCTAAGTCTGGGAATTTATCGTCCAGATATCACATGTATGAGAAAGGGTGTTTTCCCAGAAATCTTTTCTGAATCTGCCTTTACCTCCATCCATTTGACTTCTCTGTTTGTGCGTTATGTGATCGTCCTGTTTTTTTGTGTGCTGGGAATTGAACTCGGCCTTGTATGGCTGAGCTTTATGCCTGGTATATTTTCTAGTACCTTGATTTTAAGTTATTTATGCTTAAGAATTACTATAAAGGGGCTGGTGAGATGTCTCAGTGGTCTAAGCTACTTAGAACAAGCTTAGCAAAGCACAGTGACCGTGGTTCAATCCCCCAGCACCACATGCCAGCCACTCCCCCCCACCCCCCGTGGGCTGAGCTGGCCACACACACAAATAAATAAATTAAAAAATAATTATTATAAAATATCAGTCTGTGTATATGTATATAATATATATTTAACAACTATAGATAGCAAGTTCTTTTTTTTTTTAATTTTATTTATTTGTGTGTGTGTGTGTGTGTGGCCAGCTCAGCCCACCAGGGGGCGGGGCGTGCTGGGGGATTGAACCACGGTCCATGTGCTTTGCTTAGCTTAGCTTGTTCTAAGTAGGTGCTTTAGACCACTGAGCCATCTCACCAGCCCCATAGATAGCAAGTTCTTTATCTGTTTACTTACCAGCATTTAGTAGAGACCCCACGCGCACATGCGCAGTGCCGCGTCATTCCTGCCCTGGCACATTCCTTGTATGGTAGATGCATTCATGTAACCAGTTTCCATATCAGTGTGTATTTCTATCGCTTGTGGATTTCTTGTAGCCACACATAGTTGCTGGCTTCTCATGCATGTGTGAACGTATCTCCAGGATAAATTCCCAGAATTGGAACTGCAAGGTTCAAAGTATGAACTTTTGGGATTTTTGCAGATACTGTCAAACTGTCTAGTAAGAAAGCTGCTTGGGAAGGGGTGTGTTATGTTTCTTTGATGTTGCTTTTGCCTACATAAGAAAATACTTTATTTAGCTAGCTGAGAGTTTTAGATTATAACCTATAAGGTGGAATGTTTGAGAAGAAAAGGTTTTGCCACTGCAGCTGACTGTTGGTTGTGTTTACATGGGGTGGGAGTATTTATATGGGGTGGAAGAATATTTAATTCTAAACTTTATAGGGTGGCAAGTAAAATAATATAATAAGTTATTTAAGAAGATTGAAGGGAGGCCAGGTGTGGTGGCCCATGCCTGTAATGCCAGCACTCAGGAGGCTGAGGCAGGAGGGTCATTGTGTGTTGGAGACCAACTTGGGCTACAGAGTGAGCCTGAGGCCAGCCGCAACTGCATAACAAGATGCTGTCTCAAAAAAACACACACCTCCATATGCTGTGCCAGCCCTGCTCCCGGACATGCTGAACCGGCCACGAGACCAGGTGTGGTGGCGCATGCCTGTAATCCCAGCACTGGGGAGGCTGGAAACAGGAGGATCACTGAGTCCAAGCGGCCTAGTGAGGCCCTGTACCAAATATGTAAGAGAGAGAGAGAGACAGACAGACAGACAGAGATTGAAGGGTAGGTAAAGTTTGCCCTCCTGTACATAGGAGGGAAGGCAGGTAGAAAGCCTTTTATCTTTGCTAGTTGGGATGAGGATAGAACCCAGGGCTTTGTGTGTATGAGGCAAAGGCTGTACCACTGAGCTACGGCTCAGTTTGAAAGTCTTCAAGTGCTCTGTGTACTCACCTTAGGATTTCTAGATACCATTCCCACGGAGAAACCAGGGCTTCTTAGAAGCAGCTGGTTCAGGGCTCCTTGGTAGGCTCTCTGTGAGACGAACCCACAATAGGCAAAAAGCTGTCCAAAGACCACAAGGGTCAAATTCAAGGATTCAGGAGCCAGCCTGAGTCGGCTCCCACTTGCTAACAGCAGGGGTCTGAGCGTCAGTAAGGCTGTCTGTGGAAATGACATGGACACCTCAAGCACATTAAGATCCATACATAATGAGTGACACAAAGCAGAGGTGAAGTCACATTGGTGGCTTTGGAGAATGCCACAGAAACCACTCATTGTGAAAGTTGGCAAATGGAGAAAAGCATTAAGCATTTCTTCTGCTTTTCCTCCACCTCGGACTGACCAGGTAATCAGTGAGGGAACAGTTCAGTCTGGAGCACGTCCTGGACAGAAGGCTAGAACTAGCCCATTGCCAGTTCACAGCCTGGAATGGACTAACCGCTGGGCAGGATGCTTGAGTGCCTGCTGGCAGCACCGAGAGGACAAAGGCAGAAGCAGCCCGGGGTGACGCTCTCCGTGTAGCTTCCTCCAGAGTCCAGCCCGACTTCCCCACCTCCAGCGCTGACTCCAGATCCACAGGGTGCATGGGGTTCAGGACACAGTCAGCAGGGCCACAGCGTGCAGCCACCAGTAAAAGCAATCATGGGGAACTTCACAGGGCAAATACTTAAGTTTCTTAAATACTTGTCACAGTGGAGGGGCAGAAGGCAAAAGGAAACGGCAGAGGAAGAGAGTAGAAGACGTTAATTTGTTTAGATCCTTGCCCAAACAAATTGTCTTTAAAATTTTTTCTTTCATGTGGCACATGCCTGTAATTCCACCATCGAGGAGGCTGAGGCAGGAGGATCCCAAGTTGAAACCCAGCCTGAGCAATTTAGAAGCTTAGACTTCCACAGTTTTGAAAAAAGACCTGGGAATGTAGGTCACTGTAAAGGCTTTGGGTTCAGTCGTTAGGACTATTTACACACAAACACTATTTTATGCCACAGTGGAATTTGCATTCTGATTGGATTGTTAATGGTACTAAGGAAATACCATTAACATGCCCTGTGTATGTGCATCTACGCTGCTGGGGTTGAGGCCGGGGTACTGTATTGCTCACTAACCCATCTATCTCCTTAGTGCCTTTTTGTTATTTGTTGCTGGTATTTTGTTTTGAGACAGGGTCTTGCTAAGTTTACCAGGCTGGTCTTGAAATTTCAGTCCTCCTGCCTCAGCCTCCTGTGTATGAGGGTACCTGTATACCATGCCTGGCAGTTAGCTGTTTATTTATTTATTTAAGTCTTTACCTTTCCATAATGAAACATTGACAGATGACCTAATAAGACATTGGGTGGGGGGAGGGGAGGTAGGGATGACAGGACTGGTTGGAGGTAGGCGGTAATTTGTTCAGGCTCATATACTCTTCTCTCTATTCTTGAATATCTTTGCAGTTTCCCAAAATGAAAAATGCAAAACAAAGGACAGGCAGAAAGCAACGCATCGGTGGGTTTGCTTGTGCATGCTGTCATGTGCCCTTAGCTTCCCGGTCAGGGAGACCGATACTGGCTGGCAGCAAGCTGCTTGTTCAGGTTGCCACATTCTTCTGAGAATGGCAGGTGCTGTGGGGCCACTGGCCACTCAGTCACATGTCCCTGAGCCTCTGCTGAGTGCCAGCACTGCCGGACAGTCCGGGGCCATGAGCAAAACAGTGACTAGAGGATCCCCGACCTCTCGGACCACGGAAGCAGGCTCACAAGCAGGAGTTCGCCCTCCTTCGGAAATGGTAGCTTTGAGACGCCACCATTTCCCATATAAATTACAGCATTGTAGTAAAAGCCAACCAGAAGCGTTTCCTGGAGGGCTGCCGTGTTTTCTCTTTGTTCCATTCTGAGGACTGGGGGGTAGTGGAATAGCTTGTACTTATAAAGAATTGCCCATTTTAGCCAGGGGCACACCTTGTAGTCCCATGCAAGAGGCTGAGGCAGGAAGCTCAAGAATTCAAGCCCAGCCTGGGTAACTTAGCAACTGAGTAAGACCTTGTCTCAAAAAGGACTGAGGATGTAGCTCAGTGTACTTTATTCAATAATCCCTAGTCCTGGGGGAAAAAGTCTAAGTGGACTATGAGAGTTCACTGTGAGTGAGCTCTGTAATGCAGACGAGATGGGGCCTAGCACCTGGCCATTCATCCAATCCATGGGAACACTGCTACTGAATTGCTGCGGCTCGTCTGGGATAACGCAGGATTTCTTATAGCCGCTGGTGCAGCAGAAGTGAGCGGGGCTGCCACTGCCCCGAGGAGAAGCAGAGGTGAAGAGCAGAGGGCAGGCACACCTGGGTTTGACTTCCCACTTGATCAAGTGACCTCTGTCTCTGAGACTCCGATTTCCTTGTCCACCAAGTGGGGATTTGAACAGTTGTGTTGCTTTGGGAATTCAGTGAATTCTCAGTATTCTCAGCATCGTACCTAGGCCATAGCAAGTGCCAGCCTGGTAGTGGCTGCTAATGGGATGACTACCACATCAAGTCACCTTTGATAGGAAGGGCTGGTTCAGAGTAATCACTGATTTTCTTTCCTTCTGTTCAGGGCAGGCAAGCTCAGCCAATGCTGAGCAAAGTGGAAAGCTGGCTGAATTCACTTCTAATCTGGCTTGGGATTTTGCAACTAAAGAAGGATTCCGGGTTTTCAAAGAGATGTCAGCTGCCAAACCGATGACAAGGTCCTACCACGCTCTGGCTGGTCCACGATCGCTGCTGAGGCCTGCAGGCACGAGAAGCTATAGCTCTGTCCCAGGAGCGCGCCCGGCTCACGCCCCACAGGGAGCCCTGGTCTTCTCGGTAGAGGGCCTCTCCCCACAGGTCAGAGAGCTGTATGACCGGCTGCGGCAGTTTATGGCACAGCATGTGTACCCCCTGGAGCCAGAGCTGCAGAGACACCAGGCCTCTGTGGACAAGTGGACCCCGTCCCTGCTGATAGAAGACCTCAAGGTCAGGCAGCCTGTGAGAAAGGCAGGGTATCCTTGTTAAGATGGCCAGCCCCCCATGTCCACCACATCTGTTTGTTGGTGCTGGGGGAGTCAGGTGGACTGAGAGAACTGTTTGGGCTTTGCACCATCACTTGAAAGAGCCAGCTCCCCATCATCCAGTTATTGGTGTGTGGTTTGTTTGTGAGACACAGTCTTGCTAAGTAGTCCAGGCTGGGGCTGGCGAGACAGCTCAGTGGACTAAAGTGCCTGCTTAGGCAAACACACAGGGACTAAGGTTCGATCCCCAGCACCACGTGCCATGCTATGCACACTGAGCTGAGCCGGCCAGAGTCTGGGTGTAGCGGTGCGTGCCTGTAATCACAGCTCTGGGGAGGCTGAAAGCAGGAGGCTCATTGTAAATCCAAGCTGCATAGTGAGACCCTGTAACAACCAAATACATTAAAAAATAAATCAATAAAAAGAGAAAATGAAGTAGTCCAGGCTGGCCTTGAATTTGTAGCAGTCCTGTTACCTCGGCTCCAGGTGTGCCCCGCCACACCCTCCACACCGTGTGTTTTTGCTGAAAGAGGAGTGCTGTGTTGGGTTTAGAAAGCTGGGCTTTTGTTATGCCTGTTCTATTGAGTGATGAAGTCTTTTTGAAGAGAATCTATAATACCAAAGTGGGGGAGTGAGGTGTGAGATGTCTGGTGTGGCTTTCCATGCGGGGCTGCTCTTCTTGGTTGAGTTGGTTTTTGAGTTGAGATCTTTAGGAGCACAGTGCAGCCAGGTGCAGTGGTCGCACTTTTCTAAGAACTAGCGTTGTCAAAGCTGCACACATGGTGGCACATGCCTAAAATCTCAGGTATGTGGGAGGCTGAGGTCAGAGGATAGCAACTTTGAAACAGGCCTGAGCAACTTAGTGAGATCTTGTCTGAAAAAAAAAAAAAAGGACTAGAAGTGTGGCTCAGTGCAGGGCCCTGTGTTTAATCCCTAATTCCACAAAAAGAAAAAAAAGAAGAGTTCTCTAAAGTCTTCTGCCCCCTGAGGTAGTTACTGTCCACAACTTTGTTAGGCTCCCACCATTTCCTTTTGTGGTAAGTGTATCATTGTTCCTATGGTTCAGTGAAGTTCTGTATGTTCCAATCTACCAGTTGCTTTTTAAGATTAGACTTGTGGAAACAGATTGACCTCGAAGGGCTCTGCAGTATGGTTGCCTGTAATTAACCCTGCCCCTGGTTGAAAGCCACTGTGCTAGTAGGTTGTCTAGGTGCCAGCCTCCAACTCTGCGTCACCTACGTAGCAGAGGACACAGAGGGACTGGCTTTAGAAGACAGAAGGGAAGGCAGCCCACAGGGCCAGGCAGGGCTGTCTGCCTGGAGAAGCCAGCCCTTTTTTTTTTTCCCTCAACCCTCACCTCTCCCCCTCCATATTTCTCTTACCCCCTAGTCTCCTCCCTCTCTCTTCCTCCCTCCCCCTCCTACCTTTGCCCAATTATAGGGATTGAACCAAAGGCCTTCTTACTGAACTACATCCCCAGCCTGTTTTAAATTTTTACTTTGAGAGTCTCAGGGTGGGCTTGAATTTGCGATCCTCCTGCCTCAGAGTGCCTGGTGTGCCCCACCACAGCTGTTATGGTTTGTGTCTAGCTGTCCGCCCCAAAGCTTCATGCAGTCATTGGGGCAGACTTGGGATTAATTCATAATCCAGTGCTGGGACTACGGGTGTGAGTGCTACACCCACGGGTAGCCTATAATGCAATATAGGGAAGGGAGAGAGGCTTGCTCAGCGCGGCTGCTCCGCCTCTGCTGCTCCGCCTCTGCTGCTCCGCCTCTGCTGCTCCGCCTCTGCTGCTCCGCCTCTGCTGCTCCGCCTCTGCTGCTCCGCC